CGCGGATATAAGTCCTTATGTCGGGGACGGGGGTTAGTTCGCGACAAACGCTAATTTCAAGAATTGAAGCCAGAGGGCGCTCGGCGCGGTGCATTCGTACCGGTTTGACGTTCATGCGAGCGCAGTTGGTTGCTACCGGCGGCTGGGTCTATTCGAACGGTTGCTAGAATACGGTGCTGTCGAGAGCACGTCGTGAAGTCGCCCGGGAAACCTCCATTTTGAGAGTCGGGTTTGTTAGCAAATTGTTGCCACGACGAGGGTAACAGGGTAACAAATTGTTAGGAAGTGAACATTGATTGCGATCAACGTCTGAAATGTTCTAGAAATAATTGTTGCTACGCAAAACGGAAGTGACCTTTGATCCGAACATTCGGTATTCGTGTTGTGTGTTACGCTTTATAATAAACGAGTGTTGGTGGCGACTGGAAATTAGTTAATTGTACGGTATAGTTAATAGACCGACAGAGTGAAGAAGAAAGAAAGTGACTGTGGGTAACGCCGCTGAAGATTACCACAATTTGGAGCGGTGCCGAGGTCCGGGCTGTTGCCAACTTCAACAGTCCAGTCAGGTCTATCACAACCAACACCACAAAAACACCACTATACTCAACACATACACACCTCCGGCCTGACCGAGCCCTGAGACAGCAGTCGCCTCATATACAGGTAAGTAATCTCTATTTGACCAGTCTCCCCATTAAATTGTAGTAGGATAAAACATTTTCCATATAGCTTAGTATTATAGGAAATTCTTCCATATAGCCACTCGGGCTCGAACCTGCGGCTGCTCGTTGAATTTTTCGCTCATGGGCCCCGGGAGATTCGACATTTGCAGGGGCAGCTGTAGGCCGTAACAGTGGTGATGCAGCTCAGTATTATATAAGCCGAAAAGGATTTTATTCATTTAATGTGCAAGTTAACCCAATGCAGTTCTTTGCCAGGTGGTATATTACTCATATACATATGTACTTATTTTACCTACATACATAACTGTACTTACATATTTTTCATTTTTAATGCAGGTAGTTTGCGATGTTTAACTATATATCAGAGACTTTGTTGCCAGATGGCGAGGCAGTACCCATGATTCCCGTGTCTTTAATGAATCCACTTTTAAAGAGCGCTTTGAAAGAAGAGAGAAGAGGGAGACTCTTAGGAGATTGAGGCTACAGATTAGAGCCATATCTATTTACACCTATACTAAGAGGTCAAAATGAGCGTGAAGAAAGATATAATCGAGCACAAATTGCCACTCTGAACTGTGTTGAAAGTTGCTTTGGTGTGTGGAAGCAGCGGTGTCAGTCTATTTTATGGTATGACAGTAAGACTTGAAAAATGTGAGACCTACAATCGTGACTCTTGCAGTGTTGCACAATATTGCAATAGGACAAGATTCAGTACCAGGTAATTTGCACACAAATAATTTTAATCATTCATGAATATAATATTTTTTTACATAATAATATTTATAATATAATTTTCAGATCATGATGACGTACTCAATGCAATTGTGGATGACTTTTATATTTTCTTCCAGGTTTCTTAGAAGGTGTAAACAGTGGTTTTGTTGGTAAGCCAGTCGCTACAACCTGCAGCAATGAAAACCGTTAAAAGAAACTTGTTTACATTAACTTAATCTTAAATATTTCATCATATAAAATTCAAGTTTAAATAGATCATTTCATTTTATTCAAGTAAAACTTTTATCCCTAAACTTTACAATCCACATACTGGGAGATAGCTGCTTCCATGGCTTCAACAATATCAGAATTACAAATCAAGTTACGGGTTTGATTTCCAGTTTGGCACGTATTTACTTAATTTACAACTTTTCACATATTTACCTCTTGTGTATTTTGGACGTCCTGAAGTATTTCTACTGTGACAACCTTTACTGTAATCATTGTGTAAAATAAGATAAAATTAAAATTAGATATGAAAAATATAAAAATTACTTGCTATCTCAATACATTATTAATGCTTACAATATCTGAAGTCTTGTTTTCAATGTTGACAAGTTTAATTATCTCATCCACTTTGATCTCATTTTGCGATGGCTCCCCAATCTACAAACAATGCAATAAATAATACAATTACTAATGAACTATATTATGTAAGCATGAATTTTTTTTGATAACAATATCATTAAGTAAACTTTAATAGGTATTTAGGCAGAAAAGGAACAACAATGTTTATCAGATGAAAGTTTGCACTAGTAGAGATAAAATTTGCAACTTTTAACTTAGGTTCTTGATTTCATAATACCAGATTTATTTCATCAGAATCAAATTCATTTGTGTCAATGACAAATTCGTTAGGGAGTAATGAACAGATATCATCTGCATTTTCGGGGTTTGTTGTTGGAGGTGGACCACCACCAGTCTGGAGAAGATTCTTACGTTCAACAGACTTAATTTTCTTTTTTGTCATTTTAATAATGCTCCATTGGGATTTTATTTGTGGAAGGGTCCGAGTGCCACCTTTGCACATACTGTTGAAACTGGAAAAAAAATATAACAATGTACATAAATGTTTAACATTTTAATATTCAAAATGGGCTAATTTTAATGCAGGCAATCCTGAGAACTTGGTTACACTTTCTCATATATCAACCCGTCTAATCCTATGTTCTATGAACTATGTGGACTGCCCACTGTTACTTAAGTTTTCAACTTAAGTCTGAACCTGTGTCAGCAACTTTATTCTTCAATAAGTTTCATCATAATGAATCCTATTGGATAGGGAGGCTCCTGTCATAGCTCTTCCCGAAGACTGTTAAGTAACTTTAAACTTATATGTATTAGGCTAACTAGAGACAAAGTGACATGCTTCTGTTGTATAGTAATGTAACTGAACGTATATAGAATATCATTGCGTTGAAAACTCGTCTTCAAACACTTCACACATTGATAGACAAAAATAGGTCTGCATAATAAATCCACCTATGCTGCTTTATTGAGTTCGTATTTGTATCAGTATTTTTATTTTCAATCACTAATACACGCTCTCTTACCAAATATTCTTTTCTATTATCTATTATTATTCTATTAAAAGGATATTATTATAACAACACAGTGAACTAACTATTGTGCACTAAGCACCTATGAAGAAAATTACTTCAGTTACGTACTAACCTTATCTTCCTCCAGCCAAATTTCGCTTCTTTGGCGCTTTTTACTTGTACTGTTTTCCATTACTATTGAGTAAAAAATATAACTCAAATCAATTTCTTCTTCTTCTTCTTCTTTACTTTTTGGCTTCTCTTAAAAGAATTCTGCCAATGTCAAGTCAGTCATGGGAGTGACAACAAGGTAAATAAAATCTTTTTTTAATTATAATTTTTTTTAATTTTTTTTTTGTGATTGGCTTCTAGTCTACAACAAAAGACAACACAAACATTTATAATTCTACCACCAACAATGATTAGTTTTATGTTACAACTTAATACTATTAGTATAAATAAAATCACATAAAATATGAACAAATGAGGAGAACACGAGAGACAGCAGACAGGTAGAATTAGTAGGACGAAGGATGTTTTGAGGAAGGATATCATACAAGGAGAACTTGAGTCGAGGACATTCGAAAAATATGTGATCGGTTGAACCTTCATCAAGACCACATTCACATAAAGAGTTATCCCTTATCCTTAATTTGGCTAGGTGTACCGGTGTGCAAGAATGACCAAAGCGAAGACGGCAAATGGTTGATGTAGTAAATTTGTTAGCTTCACCATAATTGAAAAACCAAGATTTGTATGGGATTGTGTCTTGAACACGAGCGTAGTGTTTACATTTTATGGTTTTAGTTTGGTCCCAGAGACCATGCCAAGATGCCATGAAGTCAGATCCTGCTAGTGGAAGCAAGTCATGGGGAAAATTTGATACTGAGAGAGGATACCTGTTCGTGTTGCTTTCTTAGCCAAGAAATCAGCACACTCATTACCACGCATCCCAGAATGGCCTGGAATCCAAGCCAAAACAACTTTTAGGTCTTTTTTGTGACAATTATATAATGCTTTTTTTAATAAAGAGGATAGGGAAAAGATTTGATTTAGAGTGGAAGGAGCTGGAGATAATAGTTTGGAGACAGCTAAGAGAGTCAGAGAGAATTAAGGTATATTCCAGGTTGTGAGATTCGGCATATAGAATTGCCTCTAAGATGGCAATAGATTCACCTGTGAAAATTTATGATTCAGGTGTGCACTTAAAATTTAATATTATTCTATATTTAGGGATTCAAACTGCAGAACCTACACAATCTTTGTTAGAAGTTTTTGAAGCATCTATGTACATAATGATCCAGTCTTTCCAATTTTCTGAGATGATTTTCTTTAATTTGCTGTTAGGATCAATGGTTTTCTTGTCAAGTCCAAAGTCAAGGATAACGTTTGGATTGAAAACTAGTGCTTCGTAGGGAGTGGAGAAAAGTAAATTTTTGCTATTTTGGAAGATTGGAGATTAAATGTTTACAAACTTTATATAGCTTTTTAAAAGACATGGTATATCTTTATGTCGCCAGTATGGAGAAATTGAAATTTGTTGGTGAAGTGAATTTAGTATATGGAACAACGGATGGTTATGAAGAAAACACTTTTTGAACCAGAATTTGTCAGCTAGGTACTGCCTGCGAAGAATGACGTTAAGATTTTTTTCGCATTTTGAAGCTATGTAGGATATGTGGGGAATTCCAGACAATTTGCTATCTAGCATAACACCGAGGAATTTCACATGGCTCACATTGGGAATCAATGAGTCTCCAATAGAGCTTGACACTTCTGGGATGAGTCTTCGCCTCGAAAATACCACGATTTTACTTTTTGGGGGGGAGATGGATAAACCATGTTCTGTAAGCCATTCTTGGAAGTAACATCCGCACGAGATAATCGAGAAGAGGCGTCAGGTAAAGAATGGTCAGTAACAAAAAGAGCCAAATCGTCAGCATATTGGAGTATGTTGGACAGACAGTTTACGGATCTATCTAGGTCGTGGGTATATAGGTTATACAGAAGGGGACTCTGGCATGAAATTACCCTCTACGCGCACTAGAACATGTCTTCCTGAATAAAGGTTTGACACAAAGTTCGTTATCCTCACAGGGATGCTCAGTTGATGCATCTTATGCCTGAGCAGCGGAAGTATAACATTATCGTAAGCTGCGCAAACATCCAAGAAGACACCTACAAGGAAGTTCTTTTGGGAAAATGCAAGTGTGACATTAGAAATCAAAGGGCTGTCAGAGGTACTCAAACCCTTTCTAAAACCAAACTGGCTTTTAGGCAAGATGCCTCTATTTTCTAGTAACCACTCTAGGCGGTTTTTGACGAGGTGCTCCATTATCTTTGATAGAGTGGATAAAATGGCTATTGGACGGTAACTAGTGGCTGTAGAGGGGTCTTTTCCAGTTTTAAGGATAGGTATTATAATATGGGTTTTCCAGTCATCAGGAACTGCCCCTGTTGAATATATACAGTTGATTATGTCTAGGAAATATTTTTTGGATGTGGGGCCCATGTGAGTTAAAAGAGAGTACGGGATCCCATCGATACCTGGAGAGTAGTCCTTCAGATGGTTCAACACCAACTGAAGCTCTGTGAGGGAGAAGGTATCATTCATAGATTCATAAAAAAGATGGCAAGTTGGGGAGGTTACTGGGAATATCTTTTCTAAGGAAGGGACCCATGGAGGAGACAAGCTGCTACAGAAGTTGTCTATCCAAAGTGAGGGGTCAGGATTATTTATTTGGCTATCATTAAGAGAACCACGAAATCGCTTTATGTTTTTCCAAACAAGGGAAGCTGGAGAGCGAGGTGACAGACTCTCACAGAATAAAAACCATGCTTTTTTCTTCTTCTCCGAGAATGTTTGTTTGGCTTGAGCGGCTATTTTTTTATAATTTATAAAGTTATCCATGGACATATTTGCAGAGTACTGTTGTTCAGCATCTTTGCGTTTTTTAACAATAGAAGAGCACTCTGCATCCCACTAAGGAGGAGAGGAAATTTTGTTAATGGAGCTATTTTTAAGGGGGATAGATTTTGTAGCAGATTCATTTAAAAGGGAGATAAAGTCAGAGTAGGCATGTTGTAAGTTAATGTGAGACACTAGAGGGAGAGAATGAGCTTTAGTTTCTATATCAGAAAGATATACAGCCCAGTTGGCTTTGGACACATTAAACTTCAAGATGCATGATTTATTCCTAGTGGGAAGGCTTCTACTGGACAAAGACAAAAGGATGGGGAAGTGGTCACTACCAAAGGTGGACGATAGAGTGTTCCAATTGATACTTGCAGCTAAATTAGCAGAGCAGAGGGATATACCTACAACAGAATTAGGACTTTGGGAAGGGTACACCATGCGGGTGGGAGACCCATTATTCAAAATGCAAAGGTTAAACTGATTAAAGACGTCTATTAAAAGATAGGAGAAAGAATCATTTTTATGAGAACCCCACAGTACATTGTGATTATTGAAGTCCCCAATTACAATAAAAGGAGGAGATATGCTAGACAGGATTAACTTAAGCTCTGGGATACAGACAGGAGTAGGATTGGAAATATATATTGACACAATTGTGATGTCCATTACTTTTACAGCTGTTGCATTAATATTCTCTTGCAGAGGTGGAAGGCGGATTGAGCAAGAGGTAAGATTTCTATTTAGATGAATCATAGTGCCACCGTAGCCATCGCTGCGGTCATCACGGATACACGAAAAACCAGGGATTCTGAATCTGAAACCAAGTCTCAGCCAGGTTTCCGCAATAGCAATGACTGAGGGGTTATGAGCATTTATCAAATTAGTTAGTTCAGATTTCTTGTTCTTGATGCTCCGACAGTTCCACTGGAGGATGTGGAGGCGATTGAATTTTATAAATTTTTTGGAAGAGCATGTCAAGTTTATTTCTCACGTTAAACGGTAGGTGTATGTCGTCAAATTTGCCAATTATATCAGAGATGGAGGACACAAGGTTTTGAGCTTGAAGAGCATGACCATCTGGAAGGGAAGAGGTAGGGGTTCTTACAATATTGTTGTGTGCTGCCTTATCATAGCCTACCGAATTTGGATCAGATCTAGTTGGGTTAATTCTGAAAACAGTCTTTCTATAACATTGAGAAGCATGAGGAGCAGGGTGAATACTTGATAACTGTTGTGATGAAGTGGGTGGGCAAGGAATCCCTAAAGATGCAGCTACATCAGCGTAAGGTCTTCTTACTTACTTACTTACTTATCTTCACGCACAATCCCTGACGGGGTAGCCAGAGAGAACAGATCGCCAAGTGTCACGATCCTTACATACCTCTTTCGCTTCTTTCAGATTCATTATCTTCTTCATACATGCACGTCTAGGTATCCGAGTACTCTTGACCCTACAATCTTCAAGCAATTTGCTCACATGGTCTTCGAAAGTTAGTCTCGGTCTACCTCGACACCTTTTAATATTAACTTTCGCGCTATATATTTTCTTCACCATTCGGTCTTCACTCATTCGCTCAACGTGCCCAAACCACCGAAGCACGCCCTTATCAATTATTGTGATAAGGTCATCTTTCAAACCTGCCATATTGCAAATCTCTTCGTTTCGCTTTCGGTCGGCCATGGTAACGCCGCACATTTTACGAAGAGATCGCATCTCCACTGCATTCAACTTGCTTTTATGCTTCTTCTGGCATACCCAGGTTTCGCTGCCATATAACAAAGTCGGTACCAACACTGCGTTATGTATTGCAAGGCGTGCACTCTTCACTACGCCTTGCCTTTTGACTAACGCAGTCAGGGCACCATTGACTTTGTTCCCAGCAGCGACACGCCTGTCCACATCTAAATCACATCTTCCATCCCGGCTAAAAGCACTCCCCAAGTATACAATTTCATTTACTTGTTCTAGACATTCCTGATTTACCCATATTTCACACTTCGTTCTCTCTTCGTCCCTTTCAAATACCAGAACCTTAGTTTTATTAGCGTTCAAACGGAGACCTTTAATTTCACATTCCTCTTTCATACACGTGACTAATGACTGCAGTTCTGCCTCTGATGGTGCAATAAGCACTGCATCATCAGCATACAGCAGACAATTTACTTTTATGTCACCCAATTTCACACCCAAACAGCTATCTTTCAGCTTTTGTAAACAGCTGTCGAGATAAAGTATGAACAGCCAGGAAGACATGACACAACCCTGTTTTACGCCCGTTTGGACGCTAAACATGGATGACAGGTCATGCCCTACCCGCACACAGGCTTTACAGTCACAGTAAAGAGACTGCACAGCCCTTAGCAATCGGCCATCCACACCATACCCCGGCAACAGTTCCCACATTTTCTTCCTTACAACCTTATCAAATGCTTTCTCAAGATCCACAAAAGCACCGAAAATCTTCTGGTTAGCAACCAGAAGCTTTTCCGTGATCATACGAAGAGAAAACATTTGATCCGTGCATCCTCTTCCAGGTCTAGATCCGCATTGTGCCTCCCATAGAAATCTTTCCGATTTCTCTTGCATCCTACGTGTCAAAACCTTCGAGTAAACTTTACTTGCTAAACTGGTCAAGCTGATCGCCCGATAGCACCCGCAGTCAAAATGTGAACCTTTACCTTTATATAAAGGCACAATGACTGCGGATCGCCAATCATCCGGGACATCCCCCGTCCGCCAGCACTAATTGCACAACAGATGAAAGCTGTCCCAGACGCGAGACCCACCATACTTGACCATTTCAGCAGTAACTCTGTCTAGTCCCGCAGCCTTACCACATTTCAAACTTCGAATCGCACGTTCAATCTCTTTCATACTGATGACCACAGTGTCATCGGGGTCCGGGTCTGGCGTACCAGTCACGGCGTCATCCCCGGATCCCTCACTAAGATCATCACACGCATACATTTCTCTATAAAATTCGCTCCATCGCTGCATGACGTCCGATTTTTCTGAGAGGACGTCATTAGTTCTCGAAAGCACTTTGTTCATTCTTAAGGCCGTCGCACCACTTCGGGTCCTTCCAACCTCTTTCCAGAAGAGTTTGGAGTTCTCCTTAAAGTTGTGTGACAACCTTTCATCCGCTTCCATTCTACACCTTTCACGCACTTCCTCAATCAATGCTTTCGTGTGAACTTTCTGCAGCTTATATCTTTCTTTCATCTTCTCTCTCATATCCTTATCATTACTAGAGGCCAAGTAGTCTAACCATGCTTTCTTCTTCTTCTTTACAGCTTCTTTCACTTCATTATTCCACCATGAATCTCTTCTTTTACTACTGCCTCTTTTTATTGTTCCACACACTTCTTACGCTGCACTTACCATTCCATCCCTAAGGTTCTGCCATGTTCTTTCTACACATTCGTTTCTGCCATCGATGGTGTCAAGCTTTTCGGCTACCCTCGCATGATATTTGTCCCTAGTATCCGCTTCCTGAAGCTTCCAGCTTCGGATGCGACAGACCGACTGTGGTTCTGTCACTGTCGTCCGGTAGCGCCAACCCGCGAACAGACCCCTAAATCTAGTAATCACTAGATAGTGATCCGTTCCCAGGTCAGCACCCCTGAACACTCGCGTATCCATAACCTGTTTTCGCAGTCGGTCATCCACCAGGAACAAATCGATCATACTTCTCTCATTCTTTCTTTCTCTAGTATACATATGGATTTTCTTGTGATTAAACATAGTGTTTGTCACAAGAAGACCCTTTTCCTTGCATACCGCCAGTTTAAGCTTGCCAGCATCATTAACCCTTTTATCGCCAAACTTTCCAAGTACCGACTCGTACCCTGGTCGAGCGGTACCAACCCATCCATTCAAATCACCACATACAACAATTCTTTCGTTCCCCTAGCCAAATCTAGAACTTCTCTTACATTCTCCCAAAACTCCTCCAGCTCAGCCCTGGACGACGAAGCTACCGGCGCATAAACAGCCAAAAGGAATAACTTCGTCAGTCCCAATTTAAAGCGAACCCAGAGAAGTCTTGAGTTCACAAACTTATATTCAGTCATAACATCGACCAACCGAGAAGACAGCAGCACCCCCACTCCCTGGCAGGCGTTCTCGCTCTCCGGGACTCCGGACCATAGAGCAAACGCCCCGCCGGGGAGCTCTTCAGTACCACTGCCCTTCCGTTTGGTCTCCGACATACACACGACATCTAATTCTCTTTCTTTCATTATTTCGATCAACTCATTCGTCTTATCTCTCATGCCTCCTCTAACATTCCACGTGCCAACTCTGCACTCTGTCCTTCACCTTCCGCCGTGTCGGGCTGTGCGTGACGGGTGGCGGTCCCCATCGCCGCTTTGCGCGCCTCATTCCACACCAACGGGGACGAGCTGGTGTGCGTCGCCTTGGGGGGACGCCCTAACCCTCGTTGACATGGGTGCGCAGCTGAGTAGAATTGCAGCCCTGAAAAGGGCTGGCAGGGGTCGCGACGAGCACGCTTCTACAATGACCCCCAGTAAGGTCTTCTAACTGCAGGAAATCGAGCAGATGCCTCTAAATATGAAATATTTTCTTGGGACATGACCAGTTTAATGCCTTTTTGTCTAGTATGTTCAGGGCAACTTTAATCAGTTGCCAAGTGATTAACAGAGCAGAACAGGCATGTTGGGATATCTGTAAGGCA